TCAAAGGTGACGTTTTTCTTTAGTAACTGTGTTAAAGGTTTAGCTGTTTTTGAGAAATCATGGATGAATCGTCCGTAATAACCTGCTAACCCTAGGAACGATTGAACGTCCTTTACATTTTGTGGAGTAGGGAAAGTTTGAACCGCCGTTATCTTCAACGGGTCCGGTTTTATCCCTTCCTCAGTTATCACGTGTCCTAAGTAGTTTACCTCTTTCCTTAGGAATTCGCACTTGTCTGGCTGTAGTTTCAGAGTGTTTTTTCTTAATCTTTGAAATATTTCTTCCAGTCGTAGATTATGTTCCTTCAGACTTACTGCGTGAATGACTATGTCATCTAGATATACAAAACATCGGAGTCCTTGTATTCCTGCAAGAGCGGAATTCATCAACCTTTGAAATAATGTTCCTTCAGACTTACTGCGTGAATGACTATGTCATATAGATATACAAAATATCGGAGTCCTTGTATTCCTGCAAGAGCGGAATTCATCAACCTTTGAAATGTTGCAGGTGCGTTTTTTAGTCCGAAAGGCATGCGATTGTATTCGTAGTGACCGTGGGAAGTAGAAAATGCAGTTTTACATTTGTCATCTTCTTTCATTGGGATCTGGTGAAATCCGGATGCCAGATCTAAGGTACTGAAGTATTTGGCATTACCCAGCTGGTCCAATATTTCGTTGATATTAGGCAGTGGAAAAGAATCGCCGATGGTTACATCATTCACCTTTCGAAAGTCTACTACGATACGCATTTTTGGTATGCCTGACGCATCACTTTTCTTTGGTACCACTAACAGTGGTGCATTCCATTGACTGGTACTATGTCGGATTATTCCGTCATTCAGCATTTGCTGTACTTGGTTATTTATTTCCGTCTTTTGACTTTCTGGTAACCTATAAGGTCTGATATTAATGGGTGCTGTCCCTGGGCTGACCTGGATTTCATGCGCTGTTGCATTAGTGCATCCCAACTGGTCGCCCTCCAGATAGAAAACGTTGTGATATTTTTTGCATACTTCGATCAATTTTTCCTTTTCTTCTTCATTTAGGTGCTCTGTCCTTATATTTTCTCGTAATTTAGCCATTCTGCTGGCTAAGGGAATAGGAGTGATTTTAAACATTGATGTTCCCCTACGGTAATCGGTCTCTACGGACTCATGTTGCAATTCTTGGATTGTTAGAGTAGGAGTGTCAAGTTTGATCACTTGCTCGGTCGTATTTAGGACGCTGACCAAGCATTCTTCAGATTCTGGTTGGGTAATACAACCACCTAATATTATACCAGGCATTAATTCAGTTCTGTCAATAATTCCTTCCTTTTTATCTTTCGTTATAGCTTTTATTATTGTTTCTGATCTCGGCTTTAGCGAGATTTTCTTAATGGAGTTTTCTAACTTCCAGGTTATTCCGTATAACTGGAGGCATTTGCCTGCTCGGATAATTACTTGATGCTTCACGAGGAAGTCGTTTCCCAATATTCCATCAGTTGCAATGGGAAAATCATTTCTTACCACACGCATGAGGTGCGTAATGCACGCGTCTCCTATGCGTATGGTTAGCAATATCTTGCATATGGTATTTACTTCGGTATTTCCAATTCCTTTTAAGGTTAATACTTCATCTTGGGATAGTGCATATTTGTGCAGCTTCCCTATTTTAATTAGACTGACTTCTGCTCCAGAGTCGACTAACATCATGGATTTTGAGTCGGCTATTTCTACCGCTTCTATTTGGACGAGGTTTATTCCTCCCATGTTTTCTTTGATATGGTTTACGCCGTATGCTTCTATTGGTTTTGATTCGTTTTCCGAATTTTTATTGTTCACGTTCCTATTTTCTTTTGCTGAGTTTCTACCTCGCGTGAAGAATTCATTTCTTCCGGGCCTAAAGTTTCCTGGACGTAAATGCTTATTCTTAGTCCAACATTCTTGTTCTTTATGTCCCAATTTGTGACAGAAGTTACATTTTATTTGTAATTTGTTTATCTCCCTAGAAATGCTAGGAGTGGGTAGACTTTTTCGCGGTGCTACTGTCTTAGAGTAGCAGTCTCTAGCAAAATATCCTATTCGATTGCATTTGCTGCAAGTAGGGGGCATAGTCCTCCTTGTGTTTTCCTGTCCGGAATAACGTTTAGCCATAATGGAGTCACGAGTTCCACTACTTTTTTCTTCTTCTATTGCTCCAGTAATTGCCGCCTGGAGTGTTTCATAATGATTCGCTTTGACTATCATTCGAATTCTATCGTGTAGTCCCTGTTCAAATATACCTAGGGCTTGATTTCTTAATAATCTTTCAATAACTTGATTTTCCATGTGACTATTTCTTGAAGACGTTGAAGCCTTTATTAATTCTGTAAGCAAATTTTCTACCCTTTGCCCATATGTTTTTAC